TTTTTTTTTCGAAGCTCGAGCTTATATCATTAACTTCCTTAGGTAGCTTTCCAAATAAGCCCGTTAAAATTTTTATTTCACTTGACTTATCAGCTATTTTTACCAAACACTTTTCTCATATGCTAGTTTTTTAGCAATAAGTCGTAAGTTACCTGCTATAAGCTCAAGATCATTTAGAAGCTGTAAACTAGCTTATCATCCAGGTTTACCAAATATAGCATAAATGTTCAAAGTTTACGCGTAATGTATTTTACGTCTATGTTTGATAATTAAATAAACTAGCTTATAACTTATTTAGTTAGCTTATAAGCTTTTTGTATTCAAATTAGTTTCGTGTAATAGGACGAGCTTTTTAAAAAAACTTCAAGTTATCTTTAAGCTTTTTTGGGTAATTTTTCAAATATGTTCGTTGAAATTTTTATTTCTGCTACCTCTAATTTTACCAAATATTTTTATCATATAAGTTAGCTTTTCAATTATAAATCGTAAATTATAAATTCAAAATTTACTTATCAGCTATGAATTAACTTATCAACTAGTTTTACAAACGAAACATAAATTCGGGCTGACTATGTTGTACGGTTGGATGACTAAGTCTCTTCTTCCACTATGTAATTTAAGTAAAAAATTGTGCAACTGCACCAGCAATTTAGCTGGAGATTGTTTGACGCCGATTTCAGCACGAGCTAATCGACAGTGTACTGTCCATAGACATTGCTCATTAGACCATCTCCAGCCCTTAACTCTACTCTAGCGCGGATTTTACTCTACTGTAGAGTAGAGTTAAACATTCGTCTCCAACCATTATCTCTACATTTTACTCAACATCAAATATATTATTTTTTTATTCATTTTATATTTCAAATTAAATGATATATATATGTATATTAATCTTATATAAATGTTTATTACCCAAATAATAAAAATATGTTTAGTATAAAAATACGTTACACAAAGTTATAATACGTAAATAAAAAAAAACACAAGATTATTTAGCATAATAAATATATTACACAAAGTTATAAATTATTTAACATAAAAAATACATTACACAAAGTTATAAATTAGTTAGCATAAAAAATATATTTACTAATACACATTATACAAAAATTTATCATTTTTATTATATTACAATAAAAAAAAAATTGTAGAGATGCTACAGTGTTGCAATCTCCAAAGTAACGCAAACAACTGGCGCAGGGTTGGAGTGTAGTTTGGCGCTGCAATAGCGCAAAAGGAGAGAAATAGAGCAGCTTTGGAGCTGCTCTTTATCGACCTCCAAATGCTATCTCGCATCTCCCCTCTCCTCCGAATCCCGCCTTCTCACCCACCCTCTTCCATGGCGGCGCGTGTCCTTCCGCGCGCTCTACCCTCCGTTGCAGCTCTTTATTCGAAGCCTACGTCTGGGTCCCCTCCTCTTCGTTTTCATTTGAACAAGTCGTATCTGGAGACTGCCTCTCTATTCGGAAGGAGGAGATTTATCAGTCTTGACGACAACTCAGGTGCTGCGCATAGGTTCGCGGGCAGAAATGGGAATGTCACGGTGGCGGCTCGGCGGGAGTACAGGAAGGTTAGGAGCAGAAGATCGTCTGCGGCGAAGAGGAAGAGTAAGGAGAAGGAGCTCGAGTTGAGTGTGAATATTTGCCTCGAGGAACAATTGCCCGAAGATCCTGAAATTATGGTTCTTTCTCCTCGCATTTCCCATATTTTGGATATTAATTTTGCGTCGTTCCGTTTCCCCCAGATATTTTTCTTTCCATACGGCCACTAAAAGTAATAAATTGCTTTTGATTTTTGCTTGTTGTTTCTGCCACTGCAGGATATTGCAGAACTGATGCGTCTTAATGTTCCAATGGCGATGAAATTAGCATTCGAGCGTCTATCCACTGCAGAATATTCAACCAGAGATGCTACAATAAGTGACATTGGCTGTTTTCAGAGCGTAGAGCTATCAGTACTTCTCTGCAATGATGAGTTCATTCAAAAGCTTAATAAGGAATGGAGAGGTGAAGATCATGCCACAGATGTCCTCTCAATGTCCCAACATATCCCTGAGCTCAAGCTCCCCATTGTGAGTAACTATTTAGTCCCTTCATTGTATGTTCTGATATGCTCTGCTTAGAAGAGCTGATAAGTAGTATTCTGTGCAGCTAATGTTGGGGGACATCGTGATATCTGTCGAGACAGCTGCACGACAAGCTGAGGAAAGAGGGCACAATCTTATTGATGAAATACGCATTCTCTTGGTCAGTTTAACAGCACTTTCCCTTGAATTATTTATGCATTAGGATTTATCACAATCGCATCTGTAGCTGACTCCTCTTCCTTTTAGTAAATTTTGCTTGTTGTATACAACATTTGCTGGTTTGAGCGAACCTGGGACATTAATCCATTACAAGAGAAGTTGCACTATGGAGTTGCTTTATGTTTCATATGGAGTTTGTTGTTGTATTTTTTTCAGATGCCTTTTCTTTCCAAAGAAAAAGAAAAACAGTAAGATGGGGGGTTACCCCCCTGGGCACCATACCATGTTTAGGCTCTTTCCCATCGAAGTCATTGTTGGGCATTACATAATTTTTCATATGAATTATTCTCATTGCATCTAGTGTGAGTTTCCAAACTATCCCCATTCATAGGTCTGAAATAGATAAGTGAAACAGTTGATTCTTGGCTAAAGAGCAGTAATACGCCTACTTCTGGAGTCGGGATGAAGATCAGAGGAAGTTTAGGAGAGATGGGGAAAGCTATCAGCTTCTTTGAATTTGATGTGTATCTTGACAAATCTGCATGGTTGTATGGCACTTGATGAATATGGTTTGCAGTGTGTGTCCAAATTTTGTATGCATTTGGGGATATTTCTTTATAACTTATCTCGATGTTACACAAGAATGGATAATATCAGAAGGTTACGGAGTTGGGTGTTATTCTTTTACCTAGGAATATTGACCAGACCTTCTATAGGTAATGATTCATCTGGTTTCAATTTTCGATTAGCATTGTGTGACTTTATTTGTTTGTGTTCACAAAAATTGGCAAGAGTATTGAGTAGTCAAAACCTTGAATGCTAATGTATTAATACTTCTCCATAGGTTCACGGGCTGCTGCATCTTTTGGGATTTGATCATGAGTTGAGTGACGAAGCAGAAGAGGAAATGGAGAACGAGGAGGAACTTATATTGAAGGGTGTTGGTTGGAAGGGGAAAGGACTGATCCAAAGCGCATATGATGCTGAGGGAAATGGCAGTCCCCATACTGATTGCACGGGTGGTAATATATCGAATGAATTTATCAGAATTTGGGTATTTCCTTAAATACAGCTAGATAGAGAACACTCATGCCATTCGTTTATAGCTCTATTTTGATTTGTGATATCCCAGAGAAAATCACATTTCTCAATTGTCAAAAGACAGGAAGAGAGAAGGCAGTCTCCGTTTTTACAAGCCAAAATTTAGCTACATATTCTGCGACATGGATGGTAAGATTTCATGTAGGGTTATGATTGAATATATATCGCTTTATCTTTTTGCGGACATATTTTCTACGCATCTCTGTTTCTCCTTTTCTTTTGTTAATAGAAATATCCATTTGATGCATTTCCATGTTTTGTTAACCTTAGGTACACTACTAAACAGCAAAAGTCAAATTTCCTTATCAACTGCAACAGCTCTAAAAGAAGCCTCATCAAGGGGTGTAAAAGTGGTTATAGCCACTGGGAAAGTAAGACAAGAACTTTTTCATGAGATTTGATTGGACTTCTATACTTCCATGTGATGTAGGCTCTGGTGAACCCTGAAACTAATGTTTTTCTCCATGGTTATTTTTGTGATACAGACTCGTCCGGCTGTAATAAATATTTTCAAGATGGTAAATTTGGTTGGCAAAGATGGCATTATTTCGGAGTTTTCTCCTGGAGTTTTCGTACAGGTGCAGTTATACCCTTTCCAGTTTAACTCTTCAGTAAGAATCTTATTTGTCATACTTTTGTACCAAGATTTCAGTAAAGTTAACAGTC